TATCTCGTCTATCATTTCCTATTATGAACCTTCGCAGGTGACCCATTCGAATCAATTCTTAATCTGATCTTTTAGGTAGATATGATTCTCCATGGTATGCCCATGATCTTTATGGAACCTGCAATATTCGTCCCGAGGCCTTCTTAAAGGATTAGATTTCAGCTTCGACGGCCACTTTAGGGAGGGATAATCTTTGAATATACATTAAAACTTGATCTATAGGCATAATGAGTGGGTTGTAGTTGGTGTACTTATCTGAGCTCCTGTAATGAGATGCCCTCTCACTTGGATTGATTGAAGACTTTTTGAATTCGATCTCCTTCTCATCCTTGGCACCAGGCTGTGATATCTTTTTATCCGCATTCTTATCTTTTCCTTCTTTCCCCTTTCGCACACTCATCGCATCCCCTGCATTAATGTGTTTCCCGGTTCTGACCAGTAATTCTGTCATACTGGTTGGAGGTTCTTTTGACATGGAAAAAAGGAATCTAGATGTATGCAGTCCTCCTATGAAGGCGGTGAGTGCTACCTTGTCATCGGCTTCATCCACCTGTAACATTTCGGTGTTAAACCGGTTGATATTCTTTCGCAATGGTTCTCCCATTTGTTGCTTCACGGTGAGCAAGTGAGTGGCCGGCCTTTTTGTGCCTTTAACCTGTAATGAAATGACGTACAAATCCCTTGCTTAACTATGCAAAGGTCTCGATCGAGCCTGGTTTTAATTTATTAAACCATACATGTGCCGAACTTTTGAGAGTAGTAGGAAAGGCTTGACACATTATCTGGTTTGGTATAGCTTGGAGTTGCATAAGTGCCTGGAAAGTCTTTAAGTGATCAAGAGGATCACGAGTCCTATGAAAGCTCTCAAGTGTTGGTATCTTGAACTTGCTAGGCAATGTGCATTTCATGATAGTCGGGCTAAATGGCAAATTTATTTTTTGAACAAGGTCGTCCATGGTGGTAGCAGAGTTTTTTCCCTTCATAGCTTGCATCACATCTTCCATATTGGCTTTAAGGTTCTGGATCTGTAGGTCAATGTGGGTGATCTTCTTAGTCCTTTCACCAATGTAGGTCGAGGTCAATGGCCTAGAGCTACGTGGGGGAGATGGGTGACCCTTTTCCTTATGTTGATCAACAATTTGGCTATACTCTACAAGAGCCTCCTCATGGGAAAGCTCGTTGCATTGCACCTCATGATTTCCCTCCTCAGCATTTAGACTGGGATGATCTTGTTGGAAACGAGGCATTAAAAACATAAACTTTGGATGAGATTTGGGATAGATTCCGCTAATAATTTTTTACGGATCTATAGACGAGCGCGTTTCTTTCTACAAGGAGATGAACGTGGTATATTTACTTTCTCAAATTCGTTTCCGGGTGAATGAGAAATTAGCTCCAAAGTCTGGTGTTTTGATAAGCCTAAATGGGTATGTAAAATGTGGGAAGTGTTTGTCCCACATGAAAAAAATGTTGAAACAAATTGAAATTTAAATAAGATGAGTTTAGGATTTGGGCTTGGACTTGGGCCTAATTGTAAAGTCCAGATTATTCTTTTTTGGAATTTTGGATTGGGCCTAATTTTGGGCTGGGATTATTTTAATGGGTTTCACAAATGGGTGGGTTTTTTGGGTGGTTGGTATTTTGAATTAAAAAAACTACTTTTTAGTTTTTCTAAAAAGTTACACCTTTTAAATTAAAAAACCATATTTTAGTTTTTCTAAAGGGTTACACCTTTTAAATTAAAAAAACCATATTTTAGTTTTTCTAAAGGGTTACACCTTTTAAATTAAAAAACCACTTTTTAGTTTTTTTTTAAAGGGTTACACCTTTTTTCGAACCATCATAACCCATGGTTGCATCCACTCGAAAAGGCACATTGCAACCTATTGGAATGGATGTGTCTATTGGTAAACAGACACCATGTGAACCATTGGAACCTATTGGAATAGATGTGTCTAGTGGTGAATAGACACCATGTGAACCATTGCAACCTATTGCAATGGTTGTGTCCAATAATGAAGAGATACACCCAATCCGAAAAGGCATTTATGTTTCTATAAATACCCCCCTTTGGATCATTTGCATGTGGTTCATTTTTCATTTTCTTCTATCTCCCTCTCTAGACTTGAACCCAATCCAAGTGGGTTCAAACCATAGGTTAAGTGGTTCGAACCACTTCGACCTTAATCCAATTTCATCGAGCCATATTAAGATTGGTCCGAACCATTTGATTCGGATTGCATCCAATTCAGCATTTATATAGTATAAATGCATTTTTGAGTCAGAGAGAGTATTACACGGAGAAGGTTCGCCGTATCCACGAGTTTGTAGTGCTGCTACTGGTGGATGTAGACCGTTGTATCCTGGGAGATAGACGCCACTGAGTCCATTAGCACCATAGTGGGGCGAATCTGTCTTACGGACATAGTATTCAATACTAGCCTCGGTCCAGGTTCTTTATTTATTATTTATTAATTTATTACTTTATTTTTCATATTTAATTAAATATATATTTGCATATTTAATTAATCATTTCTTAACATATTGTTAATTATCTCATAGCATATTAGTATAAGGGTTGTTATATCTTAAATGTCACATGAAGCATATATTTTTACCAACAGATCTTGAGGTCGAATTCCGTTATGGTGAGGACCTTGCCCTAGAGGTGGGCCTGGGGGAACAAAACATTATAGGATTATCGCATTTTGCCGGATCAGCTCATTCATTCCCTGATTCAAGGTTTGACTCAGGGTTTGAACTTGTTGTTTCAATGCTGCAACGCGCTCTAGGTCATTTGGGATATGAAGGGGTTCCCCTTGCATTTCCTCCTGACCAGAGGCTTGCAATGATGTTCCTTCATCGTACTCCAATCCGGATTGTAAGACCATAATTTTTTTTTTATTAGTTAAAAAGAGACTATCCCGATTCCCACAGACAGCGCCAACTGATGAAGATTAGTCTGCAACGATCCGAAACGACAACGTTTTCTCTTAACACCGGTGTGGTGCTTGCTAAACAACATTCGATGGCTAAGTCAGTTTACAGAAGAAATAAATTAAGCAATTAATGAAGTGGAGTTCGATATTGCCCTTACCTCATTTGTTGGTAGGTGTTTGCTTTTATATCGAACCGAGCTGGAGTCTGTTGTAATCTTCAAGGAGAGCCTTTGTCGGTAATTTGAATTTCATATTTATCAAATCAAAACTACTTTTTGAATTTATTTTGTTAACGACATTTATCACCTCATCACCTTATCCATTTGTTCAATTTCTTTTAGAGATTTCCCTTAGGAACTAATTTATTTTAATGAGATTTCGCTTATTAGGAACTAATTTATTTTAACGAGTTAATCAACTAACTTTAAAATTAAAAGAGTGCTTATATATTTGAAATTGCAACTAGATCAATCAATTAAATTCTAAGAATAAAATAAGAGGAAAAAAAATAAAATAAATAGCATAAAATAGGCTTTAATTCTTTAGAACAAATTGGGAGATGATTGGGAGTGCATTTCCTTAGTATGGTTGATTTGTTGGTTGCTGCAGGTGATTGGTTCATCCACTGTAATTTCTTAAAGAGGTAGACATTAAATTTTAATATTTTTCATTATTTATTTATTTTTTTTTATCAAATTTATTATTATTTTTTTATATTGGTAAAAACACACTAATTTTCTTTTACCTTTAATATTTCGTTATTTGTGCCATTAACTAATTATATCATGTCATATAAATAAAAATATTTTATTTTTTTTGATCTTATCATTATGTGTGAGTATAATCCGTTGATGATAGTACCTAATACAATGGATCTACGTAATTACAATTTTTTTTTCATTCACACATTCACTTTTGTTTTTGTACAGACTTCAACCATTACACTTTTTATTTTTAAAAGCAAAAAAATACAACCACACGGCCCTTGCTCAGTAATAAAAAAACACAAAAAAAAAAACGTAATTGGTCTTCAAAGGAAAGCATAAAACAAAATAAAGGCCGAATGTGGCGTTATTTCATTACACGTAACTTTCTTTACTATGCAATTGTTTCATTTTCTTCAAAATTGAATGTTTGACGAGTCAAAGATTCGATAAAGCTTCAACAATCCCTTCGGCGCAAAACTTTGACACCACGAGTCTTTTATTTTATTTTATTTTTTTGTTTTAAATGTGTTGAATACCTTTGTATTCATAGGCTAAAAGGTGTGATCTTAATTTGGAAATCCTCAATTGGTCTATGAGATATTTGTTTTCTTTTTATTTAAAAAATTAATTTAAATTTAATTTAACAACCTTTGGATAAAAAGTTTCAACCTAAAAATATTGCCGTGTCGATTGATTTGTTCTGAAAGAAAATATAACTTTTTAACTAATTGAACGATGATTAACTTGTTTAAAAATTTAGTATCTCTAAATTAAAATTATTGCAGACAAATTTTGTGTCCAAAGATCACGGAATGAAAAGTGAAACAAATATTTAATCTTATATGAATATGATATATCATACATAATCAGAACAAGAATTAAAGTTAAGTGTTTTTAATAAATTATAAATATCAAAGTATAGTAACAATATATATTAAATTGTAGTAAATTTTTTTATTTTTTATTTTTTTAAGAAATTGAGTTGAAAATAACTTGATTATCATTTCAAAGTATCAAAAGTTATAATTTGGTGACACTCTCTCACACACACATATATATATATATTAATTTTATATTTTTACAGAATAAAAAATATTAAAAATTAAATTAATAAATGCATAGAGCTCTCAACGATCATTTGCACGAGCGCTTATCGTATAGTAAAGTTATTTGTGAAGTAAATTTATTTTATTAGGATGGACGCAGGCCAATTCAAGACCTCGGACCAAGTAGGCAAGGCTGGACCTATCAGGCCATTTGGGCTTGGGCTTTCCTTCAATAACACAGCCAACATATCAGAGCGCGTGAATTGTATATCTCAAAACTTACCACGTTCCTCTGGAGCACGTGAATAACACTTTCCTATATTGCGACTGGGACTTACCTATCTCTGTTGCTATTAGAGAGAGAAAGAGAGAGGCCATTGTTGTATAGCAAAACCTAGACTCTACTTCGGGGCTTCCCTCTGGATTGGATTTGGACGGACAGCAAGAAAACACATCAAAGGTTTGATCTTTTCTGCAATCTTTCTTGATATTGGTATCTGATTATTCAATTTAGGGTTTTCTGTTGAAATTCAAAATCTTGATTTGGGTATTTTTTTTCCTTTTGATTTGTGTTCCTTATTTATATACTTTTGATTCTATGTTGTTGTTATTCTATTTTTGTTCGATTTTGAATTTTTTTGAGTTCGATAATGTTTGCCCTAAATTTGTCTTTTTTTTTTTTTTGGTGATTCAGTTTTTCTATATTCAAATTAGCATTAGAATTCACCTATAAAAAGTTGGTCACTTACACATCATAAGAATGCTTATTTTTATATATGTATGTTATTGGTTATAGATGTTACCGTCTGAAATTTAAATATATTATTTATTTATTTTTATTTGGAAGATTTCAATTCCATTATTCTTTATTTATTTATTTATTAAATAGTGGTTGTTGGGGATGAAACCGATTTAAGATTAACACCATATTGCATCCAGACTTTAATCTTCTAATTATTATTATTATCATCGTTGATGATGATGATGATGTTGTTGTTGTTATTGCTGTTGATTTTATTGTTATTGTAATTATCATTATTGTGTTTTGAGTTATTTGAATGAGTTGGAACTTTTCATATGCAGAATATGGATTACATGGACCTTGATGAGGTAATAGATGTCCCTGATACTCCTGATAGATTAGCGGCACAGAACACTAATGGTAGGGGTTGTATCGAAAGGGAAAATAATTTACCTGCAGTTGGCTATTCAAAAGATACTGATTTTTTTTATGAAGGAGTTAGAAACCGGCCAAGGGATAGAAGTAAACATGTCATTGGTAATGGGCGCAGCAGAAGTCTGTCCCTTCGGCCTTCTAAAAATCTCAGTATTTCTGAAAAGTCCAAGTATGACAGTAATTCAACAGTTTCTGGATTAGGGAATTCATCTTCTTTTGAGAATACTCATTTATTTAGAAGAATATCGGGAGACAAAGCCCCCAAATATGAGAAGAAAAATTCTGTTCATTCTCAACATATGGAGAAAGGAAAAGCTTTGTTTACTTCTCAAACATCAGCTTGCCAAGAGGACAATACTGTTGTTGATCTGACAGAACAGAATAGGAATGCCCGAGTATTTGAGAAGGCTTTCCCGCGTGGTGCATTAGGAAATTCTCAAACTGAAAAAATTAGAGAAGAATCAATAACAATCAATGACACTACTTCTTTCTGTGGCATGGAAAATTCTTTGAAGCCATCTGGCAATAATTTTAAAGGAAAAGAAAAAGTAGAGGATAAACGTAAAGGTGTTTCAGGTTTAGGTCGTGGAAAAGGAATCGATTTCTTTGGTGATTGTCAACCGATAGCTGGAATGACGATGTCTACATCTCTAAATTCTAATACCTCACCTAGAGTCACTGGACAAAAAAGATTGGTGCGAAATGGATGTATCTCTCCACATAATATAGAAAAGGCCAAGCAGTCAGCTGAAAAGCACGATCATAGTTCCATAGACGTTCCTGGGGCTGTGGCTTCTAATGGTCCTCCTTGTGTGATTGATATTAATGATATCATTGCTGAAGACAACAAGTCTCATAGAGTTAAAGGAAAAGGGATTGTAGTGCATCCTTTTTCATCAAAAGAGCCTGAGACAAAAACTACACATTTATCTAGCAGGTACGTTGTCTATTGGGCAGTTTTTTTTAGTAAATATATATTTTTAATCTACACACATTTGTTTGTTAAGGTTCTTATTTTTGTCATCTTGGAATCAAGGTTTGCATTTTGTGACTGATAACCTTAATAGGGATGTAAAGTTGCTGACAAATTCTGTAGGATAATTGGAGATATCTTTGAATCGATTTTTATTTGTCAAAATATAGGTTGGACTATATATGGACCTAACTTTCAGTATTATTTCAAGTGTCTTCTCTCAGATTTTTGAATAGACATTCTTATCCTTTGTAGCCTGGGCAATTAACCATGCTTCCCTCTTCTCTAATAATTAGTGAATGCACCACCAAAGGCTATAACCTAGTGGTATCTCCTCTACCTCCCAAAGTGCAAGCCGAGGGTTCACGTCCCCATAGGGGTTAATGGGTGTGTGAGTTTCTTGGTTTCAAGTCCCCATAGGTGTAAATGAGTGTGAGTTTCTTGCCAAGAAAAAAAAATAGTGATATCCTATTGTAATTTATCTTTTATTTGTTTGACCAAATATTGAGTTTGGAATCTTTATATTGGAAAAAAAGTTTTGTTTTGTTATTTATTTTTTGTTTTTTTATTGAGAAGAAAAAGAAAATACTCGTTTCTTGCACTCTAAAGTCATGGATATCAAACTTGTGTTACTTGCACTCTCATATTCCCCTTTATATACTCGTGTCAAACGAAACAACACGGGTTTGCTTGCGGAATGTGTGTCCAACGCACGTGTCCGAATCAGATAGTTGGATCTTCTATTCTTGATGATGGAACAACAAGAAAAAATGCAAATGTGATAGCAATGAAGGGTTACCTACATTTAGGATAGATGAACCCTATATATAGATATTTTTACCGTATTTCATTTAATGTTGAGTATTATTAGTACATTTTAAATTAATAATAGCTTCATTTCTTATACTTCCATGTAACATATTATGTTTTTAAGTGTGGAAGACATGTCCATGGCACTCTATTCAAGGTTTTGAACACAACTCTGCTGGACCCACATATCTGAAAACTTGGAATTTAGGGAGGTCTGACACATACCCGTATCCGATGCATGTATGACATAGTCCTAAACCACTCCTGTTGTAGAATGCCTCGTATAATCTGCCACTGTTGCCTTCCTGTCCACTGCATTGCTGAATATTTCTTCAACTTCAGAGCCATATCACCAAACATCATTCCGAAAGCGAATCTGCGGCCATCAACTGCTTCGGAAGAGACATGACTCACAAACTTGCCCCAGTAACCATGGATTCTTCCGCAGGCTCATCAAATTACAACACCTCGCTGCTCTGAATGTCCTGGACTTTAACTCCCATACATCTGACCCGTCACCTTCCTTCGATTCTGATCCCTTTTCTCTGAGAATCAGAATCTCATAGACAATTGATGAGGGGAGCCTGAATGAACTTCCTCAGTCACCTAATATCTAGGTCACACACTATCAGACACCTAATATCTAGGCCACACTCTATCAGACACCAAATCCGAGACAAAATGGTTTTTACTAAGCTTATCTAATGTGACACCGGTGACACTTAATAGGAAATCCGTGCTGTCGGAATTGTGAAGACTCCCGCTAAGTAGGTGTGGTTACTTTGTTGTACTTCTGATCATTGTTAATCTTCCGTCCTTTGACAGATATTAGTGCTTCTGTATTGTGAATCTCTTCCAAAACCTTCCCACCACTTCACCCCACTCTGCCTTTTTGCTTTGAAAGGTGACCCTGAACGAAGCCAAAGGTTGGAAGGGATCCAACCTTACATTCCATATTCATGGCCGATGCCTCCATATCTTCCCACTTCTTCTGCCAATAATTAGTAACATTCTGTAAGATTTCTTTTGATGTCAGAGATAGCTGCAAAATAAAGCAAAAACATATCTGAGAATCTGAGATAGTGAAGCTACTCCTCTGCCCTACAGGAAATTAGGGTCTTACTTGCAAATGGCATTTTGAGACAACCTCGCCTTTTCCCCCAAGTCCAAAGATTTTAGACAATCCATGAATCATGTTACTGACTTTTTATCTAGGCAACATCCTTCTAGAGGCTCCATGACCAAGATAAAAGGTAAGGGGGAGGTAAGGGAGAAAAGGGGCCCTTTGCCTAAGACCTTTAGAGCTGTTGAGGAAATCAACTTTATGACACATTCATCAGAATAGAAAACCGATTAGAGAAAATACATGATCTCATATCATTTTTTCCACGATATAGATCAAAATATGCATATTCCCGTGATCATGCACCTTCTCAATATTAGAGATTTGCACAGCACCCCGCTTTATCATCTGTCCAATTTGAATCAAGTCATCAACACATTTATTATGTATTGTTATACAAGAAAACATTTTAAAATCTGCTTACATCTCACAAAATTATCGTCAGATTTTGACAGTTCACTAGCAATTACCTTCCTGAATCTCATAGCCAACACCTTAGCCAGTAATTTGTACACTCTACCCACCAAACTAGTAGGTCTAGTCTTTAATGTCAGCTGCACCCCATATATTTGATGGTAAAATGGTAAATGTTGCATTCAAGTTTCTCCCAGGTTTCCCATTCTCATAAAACTAAGCAAGTATGCAAAAAAATTTTCCAATCATCACTGGGTTGCCTTGGATCTGTCATCAGGTCTGGAGCCTTTCCCCTTTTTCAACTGCTCAGTGCAGTTACTACATCCTCTTCCCAGAAAGGCCTTTTTGACCAGTTGTGTTTCCCTCTGCTGCTTAGGGCTGCAAGTTGGGCAGGCCCAACCCAGCCTCAACCCGAAATCAGGTTGGGTTGGGCCAGCCCGAAGTCTACCCAAAAATGGGTTCTGCCCATAATCCGAACCCAAATATTTGGATGGGCCGGGCGGGTTTCACAGGTCAACTTCTTCTTCTTTTTTCTTTTTATTTATTTTTATTTTATTACAAATATGCAAATTACATTTTCCTTTGGGCGTCTATAAGCAAAATATATTGTTTTTCTAAAATTATGCAAAGATGACCTGCAGTAGCAAGTTTATTCTACTTCCGACGACCTTTGTTTTGAAATCAAGCTCCACCACTCTACCTCCATCCTTCAAGGTGTGTTTTAACTTCAAAAATCATAATTTTTTTGGTCTTTTTAATGTTTTGTTATTATATATATATATATATATATATATATATATTTTAGAATTAAGTTTGATAATTAGATAAACCTCTTTAATATGGTATGTGTTAACGAGAAGACGTGATAATTATATATAGTGACATGTTTGAAGGACGTATGATGAAATTATGACTACAGTAAGAATTACCCTGGGTAAAAGTCAGTCATGTCCCTTTCTTTGAATCTGAAGAAAATCCAGATTAAGTTCTGAACAAAAACCTGATAACTTTTTTTTTCTCTTTAATTTATTCTTTCTAGTTTTAAATCTTTTACTTAGACTCAACCGTGGTATAATTTAATGCTCTGTTACTGTAATTTTATCCTTTTTATTTCTTTTTAGTTTTAGGCTATTGTTAATTTGGAACTTCTTAGACTTAGATTTTGTTAAAAGTGTTAATTTTGTTAAATGCTATAGTAAATTTTTTTTTACATCTCCTGAAAGCCCACAATTAAATGTCTGTATTGGAGATGATGAAAATATGATTTTCAGAATGATATTGAGTTGAAAAAGTGGTTAGAATTTTATTAAAACAGTCCATCCACCAAAAATTTTAAATTTTCGTTTTTGATAGTTTCTTTTTTCCGGCAAAGTGGTAGTTTTTGAAATAAATTATTGGGTTTTCGGGGGATGTTCCAGCGATAATATTTTGCTTATTTGTAAAATAAAATAAAATAATAATAATAATAAAAAAAATTGGAAGAATTTAGAAAAACAAAATAGGATGTGGGCGTTTATTGATTTGGGCTCAGATTGTTTAATTTGGGGTTTTGGGTTGGGTTCGGATTGAACCCAACCCAATCCGAACAAGCTTGGGTTTTAATAAAATCCAACCCGATTTGAGCCCTTTTTGTGAATTTAAAAGCCCAAGTTCTAAAATTTCCAGGCTGGATTCGGGTTGGGCTGGGCTAGCCCGCCCAAGTTGCACCCCTACTCCTGATAGATTTAAAGTCCAGGCTATCCAACATTGGTGCCGATTGCATCTCTACAATGTTGGTCATAGAATTCCACTATACCTGTTTTGAGTTGTTCCCTAGCCAGTGCTATCCCAAATAAATTCTTCCACACTCGTCCCGTTCAAGTGGGATAACTAAAAGAACCTCTCGTTATACTCCAATAGCCAAGATTATGATCATTTTTTATTTTTTATTTTTCCGTTTTTGGGCCCATTATTTTTTTGCTAGTCCCAAATGATTCAATTTGGACCTAACTACAAGCAACGCATGCAAGTAAAGTATAATTTGCTTCTAATAACTAAATATGGTAATATGTTTTAAATCTGTGTGACTTAATAATATATCTAGTTTATTAAGATTGATAAACAGTAGGTGGAGCAGGTTGAGGTCAATTTGGTTTGAGAAAACCCAAACCTTTTTAACCTTGAAGCATACCATTGGGTTGGAGTTGGACTTTACATGTGAATACTTCTTACTTATCTTGATTATCTTCATCATTGTGTTGGGTTATGCATTTCTGATTTCAGTAGTATGTTTAATTTATATAAAACTGGTTCTTCTGGATGTTTTCATGACACTCTTACCGGTCCATTGGGCGCTCCTATGTCTGACTATTGTTTTTCTATTACTGTTCCGCCGGTTATAGAAATTCAGTGAGAATCAATTATGAGTGCTACTGTAATTTCTAAATCAAACAATGCATTTTTGGTTGGATTTTTTAGCTGATTTACAGTTACCAGTAGAGAGCAGTTATTGGTTCAGCTCTAGTCATGCACATAAGCATGGATGTCTAAGGCATTTTAGTTTTTGTTGTACAAATATGAAACCTGCTTACTTTATTCTCTCTAGTTACTGTTGGAGAGATACTTTAGTTACTGTTGATGGCTGAATATATACCACTTCTCATGATGCAAATGAGAAGCTGACAATGTTGACGTTCACTGACATTCTTATTTCTAAATTTAGAGCCTACTGTTCAATAACAGATTGAGTTTTCATTGAGGATTGTCGACAGGCGGATTATCTACATATTTTTTGTGCTTTTCTTTTATATATGTAGAATGAAGTAAAGGGTCTCTCAGACTTTGTAGAGGTTGAGCCTCTTCTAGTTAAATAGTTTTTCCCTGGTAGGACAATTACTAATGCAAATTTTGTGCATTCTTTTTCATCTTAATCCTGTAGTTTCTCTTTCCATGGAAAAACTAAAAACAAAAAAGAAATATTATTTTTTCCCACCAAGTTCTGGTGTATATAATAAATTCTACAATTATTTCCTTTCTTTTTGTTTTTTTTTTTTTTTAATTTTTTTTTTTATCCCTTCGATTTTTATTCAATATTCTAGTAATCTAACAGATTATAGATGTAACATTCTTATTTCTAAATTTAGAACCTACTGTTCAATAACAGATTGAGTTTTCATTGAGGATTTTCGACGGGGATTATCTACATATTTTTTGTGCTTTTCTTTTATATATGTAGAATGAAGTAAAGGGGTTCTCTCAGATTTTGTAGAGGTTGAGCCTCTTCTAGTTAAATAGTTTTTCCATGGTAGGACAATTACTAATGCAAATGTCGTGCATTCTTTTTCATCCTAATCCTTTAGTTTTCTCTTTCAACAGAAAAACTAAAGACAAAAAAGAAATTTGATTTTTTTTTTTTTTTTCCCAAGTTCTGGTGTATAATAAATTCTACAAACTTTTTGGAATGTTGATAGTAATTAAGTGAAAATTTTGAAGCATGTGCGATCGGAGAAAAAATCTCTTTTGCTGTTGTTGCCTGTTAGTAGAAGTATTGGTGCCTTAACTTTTCTAATCTCTTATCTTGACGCACTGACATGTTACATACATTTAGGGATTCAATAATTCATCGTGAAAAGGTTGATAGACAAACTGATGCTGGTAGAGATGCATTCAGATGCTTTGAAGCATTAGGTGGATGGAGAAGTACTCGTAATCGTACAAAGAAAACGTCTCTCCCCTTGTCTGATGAGGTTCGGCATCTTTCTAGGAGAGAGGATGACCCAGGCTTTCTCTATCAACACCATGAAAATAAGACAGAGAGGAGAGAGAATGGAAATGGAAATGGAAATGGAAATGGAAATAGTAACAGGACTATTGGTGAATGTTCTAATGACCAGAATGTATCATGTGGTATTTCTCAGTTGTGCCAATCTGATGAGCATCGTCATGCAGCTCTCACATTTATTAAAAGACAAAAGCAGGGTTCCACTTCGAGTAATCATGGCGATTGCTCTACATCGGGCACTGATGACGCAGAAAATTTGTTTCTTGGCTCGTCTGGTGAACCGTCTAATTCAAGATCATCCAGAAACCAGAGTCATCATGGTGTGGACATCTTAAATCCAGTTATTGAAATTGATGAATTTTCCCCTGGAATAAGAAACGGTGGTTCCCGGAATATTGGTTGCAGTAGTAATGATGACTCAGATGCTAGGGCAAGACAGGTAGAAGCAGATGAGATGTTGGCTCATGAACTCCAAGAACAATTATATAATGAGGTGCCAGGAGTTGGAGTTGGAGTTGATGAGGTTTGTTTCCTCAGTTTATGTCTAATTTTTTATATTATTAATATTTTAATTTATTGGCAGATTTATTTTTCTTGTCTTAATATTGATTCTCCTATCAACAGATTGATGCACACATGGCATTGTCCTTGCAGCAGGAGGAAAATTCACAGCATGCTTTCCCTAGTGGAAGTCGCCGTGTATCTCGTCCTGTAAGTGATGATTGACTAATGATATCATACCCACAACAATTTGAGAATTACATCATAATCATATAATTATTTAGACAATTAGCAGGAATTTTTAGATGTAGCTGTGATATCTCTTTTTGAAAAGAGTTTTTTCACTACTATGATAGAATTGTTTTAAGTATTATATTGAAAATTTCTATTACTCATCTAGGCACATTATAGAAATATTGAAGAGTTCTTTAGACTTTAAAATGCAATGTGTTTTTTGAAGTGTGCATGCACATGGGGTTGTGTGGGATGTAATTTTGCCGGGTGAGATGGTTTGAGTGGTAGCAATGTTGTTGCAGTTTTCCTCAATGTCTCTCAGTTTTGAACTATAAAGATATCCTTAATGAAATTTGACAGGTTGCTTGTATTCTTTTGCATGAGATTTATTTTAGTGTTTCCAGTATGTGTAGATATTATGATCAAGTAAAGTTGAACTTCTTGATTTAAAGGAATGCGGGATGGTTTTTCTCATGTAGGAGATTAAATCTTTACACCTGTACTCCTCTCATTGGTTGGATTGGATGTTTGCTTGAAAATTAGTGTTGGTGTGAAAAGATTTGTTTTGATAAGATTGCTGATCTAGTTTCACTAGCGGATGTTGGTACTATTATTTACTTGTTTGTCCCTCTGAAATGCTTAGATGGAATTGTGCTCAGGTGCATGTGTCTTTTTGCATAGGACAATTGCTGGTCTGCTGTGATTTGTTAGTTTTCCACGCTATAGCCTATAAGTATAGTTGGAAGATGATCAATTGGCATACATGTTATGCTTGTTTAATTAAGACAAATATGACTCTTGGAGTATTTAAAATTAACATGGGGGTGCATGGGATATGATATTAGTGAGAGGGTTGGAATGGTGGCAATGTGGCTGGAGTTCTCTGCGGCGCTCAGCTTTGAACGTTGAAGACAAGCCTCATTTGTACATAGAACCCCACTATATGGCTGAAAGTTGTCCGGATGCTATCTTGCTTCCATAATGCGGAGTTGACAGTTTACCTGTATTATTACATGAGATTTATTATTAGTTTTGATTTTAGAAGAAAGTGTTAACCTAATAGGCTAATAGCATGAATACTTATTTAGTAATTTACAATTCTGAGGCTCTTTTTCGTACACACATTAGTATTTATCAGTTGGATATCGTCTACTCCTAGGCAAGATATTGCTGAGAAATTTAAAATTAAAACATTTAAAGGGACTGTATAATTAATTCATATTAATTAAGACCATTACTGCGGTGACAGTGATGAGTAGGTGTGCACAAAAAACCTGTGGTACAGATCAACTGAACTGGACCAGTCTGTTCGGTCCGGTTCTTTTACGGTTCGGACCAATCCCAGTTCCAAATTTTTTGAACAGTAATTATATGGTTCAGTTCTGGTTTGGGGTCCTTCAGGACCGAACCGAACCGAACTGTTACATTAGTTATTTATTTATATATTTTTGCATAGGATTTGTGCTTCTGGTCAATAAATTGTTAGAGAGTTCTGATCTTTTTTATTTTTTATCATATATATATTTTTGGTGGTTTTAATTAGTTGTTTTATTTGTGGTTTGATTTGTAATACTCTGAGGCTGGTGTGTGGAGTTTGTTGGATTGTTTTGGTGGCTTAATAAAATGTGAGTTGGGAAAAAGCAAGAAACCAAATCTCAGTTCTGAGTTCACACTTCAAGACCAGAATCATGGAGTTCCATTGGTGCCCATGGTTCGGCTCGGTTTCAGTTTTTGTGGCACTGTTAGGACCGTTTTGGTTCCAAACCAAAGTGGTCCGAACTGAACCGTGTGCATCCTTAGTGATGAGTATTAGTTTTTGGAATGTCCTTTTAGTAGTAGCCTTGGTACAACAATTGATTAGGTCAATGCTTTTAATTTAGAATAGTTAAAATTGATTGTTAAAATGCTTGTAATTTGTGGCCAGCACTGAATGATTGAAAAAGGTGTTTGGCTTGTCAAACATAATATTTCATGGGCAGAATAATAGTTCACAAATTCTTTTATTTTTTCCCGGAAAAAATAGTTCACCAAATCTGGTTTTGTATATATAGTGAAGAAAATAAAAGAGGAAGTGAAACATAAGATCCTAGAAATCACTCCTAGAATTTTCTAGGTATCTCATATCTTATTAAGGTTTCATTGAACAATCCAAGAGATTTTGGAAACCCATTACAAATAATAAAAAATGATACCCATCAGATTAAAAGTGGCAAGACATATATACGCACAAGCGCACACAGAGGATATTTGAATTCTACTACCACCACCACCACCACCACCACCACCACTATTACTAATATTACTGCTCTTAATACTGCTACTAGGTCTTTGACTCTAAATCGAAAACTTAAAAACTTGGCTTAGTTTAAAATTTAAACCGACTAAAGGCCATAAATGAAGACTCAAAACACTTGATCCAAACTAAGACCATGGCTCAGCACTACAACCTATATCCATAAAATCATAAAATTACCAAAATATCTTTTGACTTTTAAACCAAAAGGAATCACATATAAAGCAAACCATTGGCATACTAATTTAAATGAAAGATTAAGATGCATTACAAATAGAAGCTAAAACTTGATTCTGGTAGTTCTCAAGTGTTTCTGCCTTGTATAATCAAGAGAAAGTTGTTAAAGTTGTCTCCCCTTTGAGATTGCTTTTTCTTTGGTCCCTTACAGGCCGCATAATACAGGACACTTGCAAAGAAGCGCTCTTCTAAGCCATGTTACCAAAATTTATTTCGGGAAGCAGTAAAAGGGATTCTTTCTAATTTTTATTGTTCCATCTAATTTCCATTGTAGTTGTAGTCATGCAAGATAAAACGATATTTATTATAAATTTCTGATGATCAGATTGTGTTATAATACAAATACTTGGTGTCTTATATATTTTTTATAATTTAAATTTTTGTGTAGTTTTTATGATTTGTTCTTTAAAAAGATTATTATTTTACTTTTTGCAGAGAGGTTCATTAAATTCAAACTTACATCAACAGCCCCGAGTACAGTCCCGAGTGCGCTCTTCTCAGAACTCTTCAATTTCGAGGGGTACCCAATCTCGAGTTCCTACCTCTACTAGAATGGCTCGGTTGAGAGGTCGCTTTCCTGGCCAACCTCGTACTTTGTCGCCTAGAGAAACCTTGTTTCCTCCAAGCATGGATATGGACATGGTATTGGCTTATATCTTCATCCTTATTTGTAATCCTTTATCTTTTATTTTAACCTGCACTTTTTTGGATGTTTGGGTATAAGCTGTGAGGAGATGTTTGATAGTTAAGGTGATTTATTGTTGTTTAACCAGGAAAATGTATATATTTCATTTTTGCTGTTTTATTTGATAATGTGATGGTATTGAGTTATGAGAACACATGCTTTCAAGATTTCAGATTCAAGCATTGACATAATTTAACATATTCTAAGTTTTCGTACTATTTCAAGCAAACTATTATGCCTGTGGCCTAGCGGTACAAGGCCCCTACTTCCCAAAGAGAGGTCAGGGGTTCGAACCTCAGTGGAGGCAGTGTGTGTGAGTACCAACTAGGAAAAAAAAATTTAACATATTCTAAGTTTCTGTACTATTTTAGGCAAACTATTATGGTTAATGGTGTTGGATGCTAAGATTTTATTAGAAAAAATTTACTTACATAATTTGGTGTGGGCTATTTGCAATTCATAATTTTTAAAGCTAGGTGTCTTGTTAATCTCACTAAAATAGGGCAGAGAATGGCGGGCTTTCAGTATTCCCTCTATGACAAGGACAAAATCAGGATTATTGAACCTCATATGAAATATAAATTTGGATAGGAATTTCCATTCTTGTAATTGACCCTGCTGCAATGCTTTGTGATTATATAAAGTAATGGTTTCATTGTACTGTGGGCTTTATTAAAGTGGTGCTGAAACATGAATGAAGTTGGGAAATATTTTGATGCACTATAATATGATGATTATAAAGAATTTCATAGGTTTATACATCATTTGAAGACCTCCGATTGAGTGTCACAATAAGCAAATGAGTATTTTTTGATCCATAAAAACCACCAAATATAAAATAAAATAAAATAACAAGGAAAAGAGAAAAAAGAGCATTCCTTTGATCCTTGTTGTGCCACAAACAAGTTGACTCTAGTTTAAAACAGAAGTAGTGCCGAGTCGAGCTTTTGGCTCTTTGAGTTTGAGCTCAATAATGAAGCTTGAGCTTGAGACTTGGTCATGCCCAAATATGAATGTTCGAACGTTGCTTGTCGAGCTTGAGCTCATCTTGTTTAGTTAGTTTGGCATGTTTCAAGCTCGATCTCATATTGGATCCTTCTTGTGCCACAAACAAGTTAACTCTAGTTTTTTTTTTTTTTTGATAAGTAAAAGTTTATTAGAAAAGCGTTCAAAAGGGGAACACGTTCCTAATACACAAAAGGAAGATTGAACCTAGGGACCAATAGAATCCAAAAGATCTAATAAGTCATCAGTCGAGGAGCAAACGCTTCCTCTTACATAACAGAAAAGAGAACGGAGAATATGGATTTTTAAAATAGCCAAAGACGATTCATTTCCTTCAAAATTTCTGTTATTTCTCTCTCTCCATATACACCACCAAACACAATGTGGAACAATCCTCCAATAGTCACGAACATGACCTTTAACTGGGCATCTTCTCCATGAGCTAATTAGTTGTATGGAGGACTGAGGCATTACCCAGTGAACGCCAAAAATACTGAAGATGAAATTCCAACTCTAGTTCAAAACACAAGTAGTGCTGAGTCGAGCTTTTGGCTTTTTGATTTTGAGCTCCATAATGAAGCTTGAGCTCGACTGCTCGAGACTCGGTTGTGCCCAAATATGAATGTTTGAGCTCAGTTCGAACGTTGCTTGTTGAGCTTGAGTTCATCTCGTTTAGCTAGTTTAGGATGTTTCAAGCTCGATCTCATATTTGAGCTGGCGACCAAGATTGATAAGAAGAAAAATTGATTATAAATCCAAATAGTTCCTAATAAATGAGTCCTGTTCACGTGTTCATGAACATTTTTCTGAACCTAACAGGCTAAGCCATAGGTTGTTCAAGCTCAGTTTGTTTATTAAATAACCTTAATTAAGCAATCGAGGTCTTACTGAGCTTTGATCAAACTGAGCTTTGATCAAGCTGAGCTTGAACTGTTTATGAATAAATATGTTCATTTGTAGTCAGATTGCTTCAATGTAGAAAGAAAATTGGGCCATTATTCATGGCTTGTGTTAATCAAACACCATGTTAGTCCATCCTCTTTGTCTTACAGCTTACAGTGTGGATAATTTCTTATGAATTTTGTGGGGACAAGTTTGGAAGTCTACAAGTGGCATAAATATTTTCCTACAAACTAGAAGTGTTGAGAATTTCTTCACCAAAGATTCTGTTGGATGCTTAAGGTCTGGTTGCTATTGGATTTTAATAAGATATTAATTGAGAAAGCAAGTATAAATTCATCAATTTATCAGTAGAAAAGGTGAAATGGATCACTTCCTTGTGGGGTTTTGTAATTGAGAAGCTACACTCTTAAGAGTGCAGGTGCCTATAAGATTATGGAGAGGATTAGTTCCAGTGCAAATATTTGACATGGTTATTGTTCACATTTTGGCCTGTTAATTTTTCTGGAGAACTATATATAAGAAGCTACACTCTAAGAGTGCAGATCCTTATAAGATAACAAAGAGGATTAGTTCTAATGCAAATATCTTGGAGCTTCTAGAGGACTTAGGTATTAATCCTATTTTGATTTATTGTACCTTTTCGCTGCCTTGGATCACAAGATGGTTCCTTGGTTCAAATTTCAGCTCCGCATATAGCATTAACTTTAAAAGAAGCTAGAGTTATTGAAGCTGTGTTAGACAAAAAAATTATTTCTACTCGTGGTAAGGCCGTTAAAATTTCCCTGAATTGGAAAGGTCTTCCAAGATCAGAGAGCACTTGGATGAGTACAACAGAAATTCAGAAGATTAATCCAGAATGTACTGAAGTAGCTTGCCTTTTTCTCATCATGGTCAAGTGCTCGCAAGTTGTGGAGACATGACAAAGACTACACAATCCTTGAAAGTATGCAAGAGGAGATTTATTAGTCTCAAATCGTAAGGGGGCCAAAAATCACTGAATTCTTCAAATTTGCGCTTGGACAGAGGTAACACGCTAACTATTAAAACATTAAGAAAAAACTAAATATCAAAAGTACATAATTCATTTTGTAAGTAATTTGGCAAGTCAAATTTTCCTATATCAAGGATTGTATGAGTAGGAAAACTAAATCAACTGATTAATTTCTTACTGGAACAAAATGTACTGGTAGAAAAAGTAAATTAAGTGTTTGATTTTTGGAAGATAAAAATCCAATTCATTGAGAACTAACTATTCTGGTTGGTTAGTCATTGCCCAGAAATCTGTCAGTTGGTTTTATAAATCTACAGGTTGAATTCATACTGGCAAGGATTTTACAGGTTGATTAAAGAAATGTTCCAGTTGATATCTTTGTGCTGATTTGGAAAATGTACCAGTTGATTTCTGTCTGGGAAAAAAAATCACTTTCACAAGTTTAATGATTTCAAAACCAAACTTTATGCAAATTAGACCTTATGCAATCACACTACATACACATGAATGCACATCTAGAACTACGTCTCTTAATGTGAACACTTGAGACACTCAAAACCAAAAATACAGCTCAAGGCTTTCGCGCCGTAGTTTCCTAACACAAGATACTAATAGAAAGTAGCATTGTTTCTTTCAACCAATATTTTTTCCCAGTCGTACCTTAATGTTTATTGAACTTTAAAGGAACGATTTGCATGAACAGTTGCATACTTAATATGGCCTTGTTCCAGTTATTTGGGGTCAGTTACATTAATTTTGTCTTGCCATTCAGCTTGCTACCATTACTTTCCTTGCTATCTCAAACCATATTAGTTTTTGGTTCACATTTCCCCAGATCACCTTTTACATAACGTCTCTTGGTGCAGTTATTTTTTTGGTTCTCATGACCAAACCATCTTAGTTGGTTTTGTCTTACTTTATCTCCAGTATTTACTGTTTTCACGATCTCATCGATATGTTCATCTCTGATTTCATCTCCGTATCTTGCCACGTATCGACATACGCATTTTAGCCACCCATATTTATTGAAGATATTATTTCTTAGTAATCTAACATCATGTACCCACAAAGTATGACTAGTCTTGCAATTTTACAGAATTTTCCTTTTATCTTCATCGGTTTTAGAAGTACACCTCCACCTAACCCGTGTTATCTTAATTCATTAAACAACATTATCTCCAGTATTCTTCTCCCATGAATAATTGAGTTTAGGTAACAAATTACTCTCTTTGGTAACTTTTTCCCTTTGATATCACTATATCCCCATTTGTATTCTGCTTGAGTAACATATGATAAATTTCGGTGTTAGTCCTTATTTTATACTTCTCTGATTTTAAAGCCTCTTTTCAAACCTTTAATCTTGCAGTTTGTCCTGCTTTGGTTTCAAATGATGTCATCAGTAAACAGTAATATACATCATTGTAATATACACCATTGCAAGGATTCCCACTTTAGACAATCGGAGGAGGAGATGCCAGATTGTAGTGAACTGGTGCTGCATGTGCAAGAAGGCGGAAGAATCTGTGAATCATCTTCTCCTTCATTGTCCGGTGGCAAGGGACATTTGGTCTATGTTCTTGGCTTTGTTTGGTATGCATTGGGTGTTTTCCGGTTCCATGGTGGACGTGCTCGAGGCTTGGGGAGGGTGTATAGTGGATAGCCGAGCTAGAGATGCTTGGAGGGCCACTCCCGTGTTTATGGTGGGGCTTGTTGCGTGAGAGAAATAGGAGATCCTTCGATGGAGAGGAAACTCTTGTTTGGCCTCTCAAACGCATCATACTGAGTTCTTTATTTTTTTGGGTAAATGGGCGTAATTGTAAATCTATGGGGGACATTGTTGATAGTCTAAAATTATAGTTGGCCGGTTTCGGATTCCCATGTGTTCCTTTGGGTGCACTCCCCTTTTGAGCGCCAAAAAAAAAAAAAAAGAAGATTGGAGCTTAATGTCGATTCTTGATACAAGCATACGGGGATCGGAATACTAGCTTTTGCTGCATTTGTTCCTACAATTCTCTTGGCTACATCATACATATATTTGTGGCTCATTTATTTTTGAATACCTAGTATATTATACTTCTTAGGATCCAGTGATTAACATGTTCCAAGTCTGTACGAATATATGAAGATCTTATATCTTCTTTGTAAACTTTCCTGTTCGTCTCTTAGTAATCACTAGCTTCTACCGTGGACCTCCCGGCATAAATCCATATTTAATTTCCAATAATTTTGTTTCAAGTCTTATTCGTTGCTCAGTTAAGATCCATGGTTGCATAGCATGGCTTACTAATTTCATGTCACAAGAAGTAGTACGACTTTGAACTTCCCTTCGCTATATTTTATATATGGGTATTGAACGCATTTTCACCATTCATCAGGCATGGTTGCCTGAATTTCCACTAATTTTTTGGACTACTGTTTGCTGTGGATAAGACTTGGTCTTTCTATTAGATGCTATAAAAATACTTTGATTTTCATATTTCAATGTTTCTAGTTAAGTTCTAGCCAACAGGGAGTGATATTTTTTAATTAAACGTTAAATTATGGTTTTATCTAATGATCCTGTTTGTCATCTGATCATTAGACCTGGTCTTTTTTCTTCATCTTTTGAAGTAAATGATTTTTTATTTCCCTTTCTGTATATTTTGATTTGACTATCAAAGTTAAATCAGGTGGTTGATGTGTGCATGTGCATGTTAGTTTCCAAATGAAAACCAATATTTTTCCTTTTTGGTTGCAATGCAGAGAATTCATATACTGGAAGCATTAGAGGCCTTTAGTGATATGGGAATGGCTGGTGGCTTCCTTCAAGTTCAGCGCGATTTCAACGAGTAAGATATATATGTTTTATAATTGGATTGATTTTTTTCCTCGTTATTGACAATTATTGTTTGTATTGAAAAAGATGATGTGCTTATTCAACAAGTATTACAGAGTATTAGCATTAGTCTTTACATAAGCCTTGGTTAGTGTAGAACTTGTTTGGGATGGTACGATTCTGACTTAAAAGCATAGTTGTTAAAGGCTCAAGGTGCACTAAGGCGCCAAAGGCCTTCTGGAGCTTAAGCGCAAGGCGCAGTATAAGGCACACGCCTGATCGAAGTAAGGCGCGTGTATATAATAATGCATATTTAAACATATATTATCATATATATTTATAATCAAGCAGTAATTGCAGTTAATATAAGTGGTGAACGATAAATTTATGAATTTTGTCAAATATTTCATAAGGTTAAACAATACGATATATGGTATAGAACCTTCTAATTTAGTAGTCATTAAGTAAAAATAAAATGATACGAATAAATGATTAAAAAATATAAGGCGCGCCTTTTTTGAGCCTCGAATCTGCTAAAAAGCGTGAGCCCGGGGGCTTTATGTAAGCTTGATTGAAGGGGCTGGCCTGTAGTAGGTTGAAGCGCTCTAGCTGAGCCTTGACGAGCCTGGGGCTTTTTTGGAGCCTAGGCGCGTCTTTAACAACTAAGCTTAGAAGTTCCAAAGAGTTCTTGTATACGGCTTCTAATTGCAATGTCCATGGATTTTCACTTTGTTTCTGCACTAATTGCATTAGCAAATGCCAGGATGAGTTATTGAAGATTAAGTGAGTTTTCCACAGCCTCTGAGGCCTTTCAATATCAACTAAAGTACTTTCACTTTCTTCACCTATCCAATGACTGTTATGTTGGAGTATTTGAGGTTTCCCTAATTTTCTCATTTCTTATAATAAATTGGACTTTTTTTTTTCCCGAAAAATTTGTGTCCTTGGTCCTATCAACCTCTTTTTTAAGAAAATACTTTAGTTTCTTCAGCTCTGTAATTCCATATTCTTTAGCCTAAATGGTTTCTAAATTTTTAATCTCTTTCTCCTGTTCATCCACCATTGTTATGTGATCCGAAACTGTAACCTCCTCATTAATGAATGGAGTGTTTTTCTTCCAGAAAAGTAATTTCTACATCTTAGTGGTTCTTCGAAATTTATATATTCAATTGCAATTTTCACATTGAACCTGTGGGAATAACCAAGATTAACTGCAGCGTAAGCAGATTTTGGATGGAACTCATGTTGTCTTCCATAGAAAGTTTGCTGACTTTTGATTTCATAGAAATGCATGAAAAGCCTGACTGTCAACCTTGCTTCATATCTCTCCATTGTTCCACCTGCTTTGTGATTTACTATGAGTTCCCACTTGCACCATGGTAGTTATTACTCTCATGATAAATAATGAACTAGTTGTAATCTCCCTCTCTCGCTCTCTCTCTCTCTCTCACTCACTCACACACACACACACACACACACACACACACAAATAGACAACCAAGTTAGATTCATTGCTATGACAATTAGTGATAATGCTGAATTGAACTTTTTTCTTGCAAATTAAATTTCTTATTTGGGTGAGGATTGGTGTTCTATAATTAATTATGGTGGACCTAGAAGCTTATGTGCTTTCAACTATTTATCTTAAATTTGTATGTTGTTTCTTACAGTTTTCTTAAATTTGTATATTGTTTCTTAAAGTTTAGGCTTGTTCGCTATGTACTTTCGAAAATCCTTGCGATCTACAAAGATTATTAGTTATGAGCTTTAACTTATCAAAAATAATTTTTAGTTATGAGCTTTTTGATTTTGTTGAATCGTACAATTTTCTCTCCGCTCCTGTGATTTTTTTGATCACAAAGACCCACCTGTACCAATCAGTCCACTGTATGATCTTTATTTCTACAATCTTGTTCCCATGTATTACGTCTCTTAATTGCCCTAATTTTCCTTAAAATAGCTTTCTTACTCCGTGTTTATGACAATACATCCCGATAATGTAACAAGAGTAGGAGAAATGCCTGGATTTGGGGAGGTTTCTTATTGCCTCTTAATCTTGTATTTGTTTTTCTCTTGGTGCATAAACCTTTATATTTTTAGATTCTGCCTGTAAGATCAATCTTCTTGACCTTAATGGAAGTCAAAGTGTGGTGCTAGAAAAGGAATTGAAGACTTCTTTCTCCTACCATTCTCCCATTGACAAGGTGTCTTGGGCTCTGGTGAAGAGAATTCCTTCCTTGTAGTTAGAGGATTTAAATAGTAAAGTTATACACTGTAATTTATTAAGCTTTTAGAGTAGATGATGCTTAAGCTTTTAGAGTGCAAACCTCCCTGTCATCCTTGTACTTAAAATTAAAACATGTGTTGCACCAAAAGAAGGCCACACATTAGGGGGCATGTTAGAGGATTTAAATATTAAAGTTACACCCTCTAATAGCTTAAGCAATTAGTGTAGATAGTGGTTAAGTGGTTAACACTTGTCATAAGTGGTGACATTTATAACTTTGGTTTGGTGAATAATCAAGAGACACCAAGAAACTTTTGAGGCTTTAACAGACAATGATATCCTAAGCACCTGTCTTTTTGTAGTGCGCCACAAGTGTTTGATGGCTGGGACCATAATATTAGTAAGAAGTCTAAAACCATATGCTCATTATCTTTATCAAACTTTGATTAATATTTTGTTGTGGAATTCAGCGGCCATCATTTTGTGAAAGTTTTTGAAATCCCAGAAATCTTCACTCTTTTTCCTTTAAAAGATACTTGTGGTTTGAGACTAATTACTTTCAAAGTTAGTAGACTAGTTATGAGCTAATAAGAGAATACTTGGAGATGAATCGTAACATTTGAATTGAAGGTAACAAATGAGAATGAGTTTCTGTATGAAGTGATTCATTTCAAAGTACTTGCCTACAAGCGCTGAGATCAAACTTGATATGGGTCAATGCTAACAATATATTTAGGGCTTACAATAATCAGTTTATTTGTTAAAGGTTTGTGTGGGTGTAAGGGCGGGTTATGATTCTGGGGTAAAGATGTGGCAAGGGAAGGCAAAGATTTTCTGACCTGGGACATGAACAGTATTACTTTGTTTTATAGTTTTAGACTACTAGATTGATTGTTTGAACTAGGGAAGGGTTGGCCTTACAAATAAAGGGCAAATTGAGTGCACGAGCTCCTGCCATTGTGGGGTCTAGGTAGGGTCGGATGTACGCAGCCTTACCTCCGCATGCACAGAGGTTGTTTCCTTGTTTCGAACCTGTGGCCTGCAGTTCGCAATGGATTAACTTTACCTTTGCGCCAAGGCTCGCCCTCGCCCTTACATATAGGTTTTTGTAATTGTAAATTAGAGGCTAACAATGTCTGATCATGGGTTTTAAAGGCTTATAAAGTGCAGGATTGAAGGCATACTATAACTTATGACTTAAAATATCCTGTTGGGCTTTACAATTTGGATCAATTTGATTCCTCTATTTTCAATCTGAAGTTATGTTTTGTCATTTTTCTTTCTGAATATTCATGAGTTATTTTAGTATGGTGGACATGGCCAGATAATTGTTGAATCTTTAGGTGACTTCTTGGAGGGACTTTTGAGGCATTATTCTGTTTAATATACCTTTTACCATTTCTCATCTCTTTTGCTTTAAGTGCTGTTTATCTTCACTCAACTGTGTCTAATCTGTGCCATATCTTTGTGGCGGAGATGGTTTCTTTTTAGAGAATTTAGGATAAACCTAAATGTGTTTTTGTTTTAGATATACATAGAAAAGTTATTTTCAGCCTCCTAAATTTTTTTTTTTTGGTGGTGGGATCAGAAATGATTATGAAATGTTATTGGCTCTGGATGAGAACAATCACCATGCTGGTGCATCTCTTGATCAGATAAACAGATTGCCATTGTCAACAGTTCAGGTAATTTGTGTGTGTACCAACAGCTGTATTTGTGCGTGTATAATATGCCGGACTATTATATCTGCAGCCTTACTTACTATCTCAGTTCTGTTCTGTCAAGCAGACTGATAACCTTGAAGAGGCTTGTGCAATTTGTCTTGATACTCCAACCAATGGAGACACCATGCGGCATCTCCCTTGCTTACATAAATTTCACAAAGATGTAGGAACTACGTACTTTACTAGTTATAAGTCTTTTCCTCGTAAAAGAGGCCACTAAACTTTTGATTTTTTTTACCCACTCCTCACAGTGCATAGATCCGTGGCTCCAAAGAAGAACATCATGCCCGGTTTGCAAGTCATCAATCACTTGACTTGCGCTTGGAATTCATGTGCTCATGTCATGATGCTGCATCAAATGAAGCGAAATCTGCAAGCAATCACATTCTGAATGCCAAGGTAAACTATTGTGCATCTTTTATGGGCTTGAAGCTTTTTGTAATTGCAGAATTTTGCTTGATGGAATACCACATTTGTTTTGTTTCAATTGATCTATGGAAAAAGGGATTACAAGATTTTACATATGTTATCGTAATGTAAGTTGTTCTTTGGGATATTTCTAATAAGGGGTGCATCATACTTTTGGAAATGATTTTGGGTCGAAGTTCAGCATTGGGTGCTGAACTGATCAGAGCCCTTGTCTTTTGGGAGTAGCCTGAGATCAATAGTAGATCTTATTGAAGCCACTGCAAAACAGATGACATCAAGCTTGCACAAAAGTAGAAACTTTGGGTGGTTTTGAGTTAAGAGTTCAACCTGACTTAAAAAGTGGACCTGGGATTGGGTTGCATCCTCAAGAACCAGATCCTGGCCTTTCGTGGAGAAAAAATAGCTTACGCATGACACATGCACCTCGATGGTGGTTTTGTGGGCCTTCACGGTAAGAAAATCCCCGTCTGTGTCAAATGCTAGCCTGATTCCTGTATCAGAGCCATTGATCTGTGGATGAACAACCAGCATAATCTTTTGCTTTAATGTGTGTGTCAAAGTATTGCCATTGAATTTTATGACAAGCTTTTTGTTTGGTGTATTATCTTACATTATCTATTTATGGTCAGTTAAGCATCTTCCTTTTAACATGTTGACATTAGTGCCTTTTCCACCAACATGCACCCTCTTCGAATTCTTGCCCCCTTGGCATCTTCTTGCTCGTGCCTTGTTTGGCTGCGAAGAAAGATAGTAGAAATGAGCACTATGGTGATTTTGTTCATCTTGACAACTAAACGGGATTGAAACGTATCGGAGTATATGATAGCCTCGGATTGTGTCTCCACAGTAGCTCCGGTGTGTTCCTTGCGATGGCCTACGTTGACCATTGATTGTGTCTCCGCCGTAGATTCGGTGTGTTCCGTGCTATGCCTACGCAAGACAAGACATTAGCCGTACGGTCTACTGTGGCTGCTGGTTCCCCAAACCCTGTCATGAAGGTTGAACCATGAATGAGACTGCAGGGTGAGTTGAATTAGACAGTCAATATACAATAGTGATAAGCATGTCATTCTTGTGATTATGGTATTGCCAACATGTTAAAATAACTGACGTGCTGTATGGGCTGATTTCACGTGACATCTTTTGGATTCAAGTGATGCAAGATTTAATTTTGTGGTGATATTATGTTATCAAAATGTTATTACTGATACGGCCTATTTTTAAACCAAATAAAATAAAACTCCCATTTGCCGGGTTAAGGTTTCTGGTAAATAGAAGGGAAAAAAGAAAAGAAAGCATTTTAGGTTGTGTATTAATAGTTTTAGCGTTACTAGATACTGTATAGTTATTTACACAATTATATGTGCGGATCCAAGATAAACCAACCAAGTGATTCTAACCCAAATGGAATTGCTTGGATGTGAAAGTCTTCGATGCCCCTGGGGTACTGTACCCCCGGTTCCCAGCCGTGACTTGTGGGCAAGTGGGAGGGGTCTATTTTTTATTTTATTTTTATTACTAATATACCATGATATTTTTTATTTTTTCAATATATATTCATAAAATATTGCTAATGCCTCCCGAAATTATGCAAAATTTCAATCTTGCCCCTCCGGCCTCACCTAAGGTTTTAGGTCTGCAACTGCTAGCCACGTAATGAGATGTAGTGGTGGGACTCACTCGATAGATGATTCAACGGTTGAGGGGCCCTGGAGTACGGTACCCTTGGGATATTGTAGACTTTTTCAATCAGAAGTTACAACGTAGCATTATTAGAGGATTTAAGAATTTATCTTAAAATTTCTGCATATCTTGCCAAGTGACATAAGCAAATAGGCTCAGCAAATCATTTTTGTAGTTAGATTGAGCTTATATTTTCAACTAGTCTTGAAACCACGAACTCCGAGAAATTGGAGTATTAAATAAGCCAAATCCAATTTAATAGGAAACCTTGATTGCTAACGGACCCTCGCATAATAGATGAAACCTTGATTGCTAAAGGACACTCGCAGAATAGATGATCGTCTCCAACCCTAAGCCACATCTTTTACAAATAACATCAACAATAATTCATCTTTTCCACAAAGGTTTCCAAATATTGGACTCAAGCGCGGTAGCGGATGGATTGTTTGTTGGAGCCGGATCACAAAATGACAACATATCCAATGTAAGAGTAAATAATCACACAAACATAAATATGTGATAAATAATAATATCCCAAAAATATAAATAAAAAAATTAAATATAATTTCAAATCAAGGCTTAGAGTGACATTCTCTATGAACTTTATCCGGGATATAACTAAGTTAGATTCAACAATTCGAATGTCCATAGAGTGACACCTTCCATCAACCTATGTATTTATCTATATCCAATTATTCGTCCAAAATAAAATATAATTTAAGAAATTATATTCTAAACAAGTACGTCGACATACAAGGAGGTGGTGCAACCAAAGGAGATGGTATTTTTGATTTGACATTGGGGATTTTGAGAGATGCCTATATGCATTGTGTAACTACCATGAAAAATATGCCTATATATGGGTTATGAATGAATACGGCGTGAAAGATTTTTGGATTAAATTAGTGAGTATCCCCTATTTGACAGATCCAGGGAATTGTCAGCACTCGGCACCATTGTGCTTTTTTAGAAAAGGTGAAATTTTGTTGGAATTTGAGGGGTTTTTTTTTAGTTATATATAAATTAAAAGAGGGTGCATTTAGGTATCTTCCATTCATAATTTTCGTACTTGTCTTGAAGTGGTTACTTATGTTGGGAGCCTTGTTTCAACTGGTCTTGGCAATGAGATTCAGGAGCAACATTAATTAACAAATAAACAAATAAACAAATGGTAAGATTGAAATTATTTCCTTGAGTTTTATAATGCCCTTTATAATTTGCATTTGTAATACTATTATGGAGCTACATTATGTATATATGATTATTTGTAAGGTTAAGTGCACGAAACATCCCCTTGTATACTTATGGACCCCATTTCACCCCTACTATAAAAGTTGGGGCACTAAACACCCCTCCAATGGTAACAATTTTGCGGAATCTCCCTAAAATTACTTTTTCACAAAATTTTATACAAAATAATAAAAATATACCAATTTTACCCTTTTAGTCTTCCCAAAATACCCATCTGCCGTGACCCAACTCAAAAGACCAGCCAAGCTTCATTCCTCCATTAAACACGGCGAGCACCAAGTTCGGCCAATCACAAATTTTCCGATCATGGACCCAAAACAAACCATGGCTACATCGACCTAGTGAAAATTAACCCAACGGTGAGCTCCAAGGAACTACCCACGCTCAAAAAATCGCAGCTCAAACCGGCGAGCTCCAAACTACCAGGACCCACTTCAGTGAAGGTTATAGAACCAGTCCGGAGAGCTAGCCCAAGTTTCGCAAGGTCTAAATTCTGTCCGGCAACACTACATAGAGTCTGGATGAACGTGAAACTCGCCGGACTGAAATGGGCTTCGCCTAGGTGGGTCAAGGTCACTTGAGGAGTCGCCGGACTGAAGCACGTTGTTGGGTCTTTGTATGTCATAGCTGGGTCTGGCCTTCCTGACGGAGCACGAGAGACATCGACATCGTCCGTTTGCGAATCAAGCACAATCACCGTAACCAATCACAGTTGCTCGAAAGCTCGTCGGAGTATTTCTGTTAGCTCGCCGAAGGAGATGACCATGAAACTTCAAAGAACTGGGTTTTTTTTCACCGGTGAAAACTGTATCTGTATGCATGCATGAAGTGTCGCCGGTGTGAGAGCTTTGAGCTTGCTGAACTGAAATTGGAGTGCTCTTAATTCAGTCGCCATCAACGTCATGGTTCACTCGCCCGACTGAGTTTGGAGCTTTGCGGTTGTCACCTAAGTGGGTTTTGTGAGCTTGATCCTGGTTGCCGTCTAGGGACCTGAAGCATACCGGTGTAGAGCTCACCGGAGCGGTGACTGAATCTCGCCGTGTGTTCACTGGCTTTTTGCATGCAGGTGACGGGACCAGAAGTACACCGGAGCTCAATGATTTGTCATCATCAGAGCCTGTGGGTCGTGGAGTTCGCCGTTGGTTATGGAGTTCACCGGCATTCAATTGCTTATGTCCTCTTTGGTCATTTCATAAATACAGCTTTTTAAAATAATATAAAATTTGTAAAATATGATGCTAAGTGAACCAATTTAAAGTGAATGCAATCAATCTACGTGTCCTATTGCATTGTACTTATCTTCGTTGTTTTGCATTCTGCTTGTCAATTTGCCTATACAATTGCTTGCAAGTTTGATAAGACCTTTAATAATTACTTTTAATCCTAAGATGAACAAAGAAATAGATTAGCAATAAAATAATTTGCAAGGAAGTTAGCTCGTCTACGTGGTAATTGGTTCTTATATAACCTAAGTTAAATTTGAAAGTAGAGGAAAAAAATGAAAAAAAAAAATTATGAACTATTCCACTCTTGCAAATAACCTCTTGTTCTTCCCCCAAAAAAAAAAAAAAAAAAAAAAAACACCAACCTCTATACTACTATAAATAGTCACTTAGCTGTGAGAAATTATGTAATTTCTCGTTGCAAAATGAAAAAGAAAAAAAAGTATTTAAAAAGAAACCAAGTAAAGCTGACGGGATGAGGGCTTGAAATGATTAAAAAGTGATAAAAGTTGTGCTTTGACATATTTGAAGTACATAATCAATTTTCGAACTTGTAATAGTATGTTGTAGCAGCAATAGAGAAGACGTATTTGTTGTTGACGTTGAATAGTTTCAAGCACTGCAAACTAGTGAAGGTCAAACATATTTTGATACACTATAGATTATGAGTTTGAAGATGATGCAACTGATAGTATTGATATCTTTGACAACGAGATGATATATGAACCTACTGCTGAGCTTTGTTTTTTCAGTGGCAAAATATATGGGGAAGAAGAAAATCAAATTAGGATTCAAATTTTAATCATCTATATAGTTTTTGGATGCTTTGAAGATTGCTGTTGCCAGGAGACTCAATTTGATATTCGCCTTTTGTAATTTAAATCATATGATGCCACCACTTTTTTTGGATGCAAGAAAGCTTTTTGGACCATTTATTGTTGGCAATGGTAGGTGGATTCAGCATTTCTGGATGAGGTCATTTCTGAATGAGGTGGATTAACTTTGGATTGGACTAATTTAAAGTGGCTACCATTAATAATTTATTTATTTATTTTTTTGGGCTGGGTTTAAAGTAGTATGGTAAATTTTTTTTGGGGTGGGCTGAAGCCCACCTTCACCCACCCCTAGGTCCGCTAGTGAATGGTTACATTTTGAAAGGTTTAAACTATATTCAATGTTTTCTGTAACGACATATAACAAATGCATGGAAATGACACATAATAGACATAAAATTAATACTATTGAATTGAGAAAAAAATTAACTAAATTTCCATGAACAAAACAATAGATTATGTGTATTTGACATAAAAGGTAACACCACTATGCAGCCCAATAGCTTTTATTCAGGGATCGGTAGAGACCTTTCATGATCTAAAGCATGGAATGGATTAATATTTGTGTGTAAAACATGTCTATGACAACTTCCAAATTGAATTTTAGAGGGAGTTAGTTGAAAAATGATCTACAGACAGCAACCTGTGCATATTCAGTGGCTGAGTTTGATACTCTTGAGACAAGGTCAAAATTTATATGTAATTTTGATTTGGAGACAAACTTGCTATTCTTTCAATTGATACATCCTTTGAGCTTTGGTGGATTTGTCACCTTTTGACAAAAGGATTCCAAGAGAGAAGATTATGGATGATGAAACAGGAGGGCTTGTTGCGTCCAAATACTCAAAATGTATTTGATTGTTGTGTGGTACAAAAGGAGAGAGATGAGGTAGAATACTTGCAGTTGTGTATGTAGATCCATTGTTCCGCAAATAGACGTATCCCAATTTTAATTTTAATTGAGAGGTCAAATTCCTCTGATGTTCAGTTGGTAGCTCTTCAAGCTTTTCTAATCAAATATGATGATGCCTTAACTTTATATTTATATCCCTCTTTGTTATCTTTTAAGAAACATCTTGCACTAATCAGAATACAAGGCAAGCTATAAATTGATTCATCATAACGAGGAAAAGAGCACATACATATAGTCCAAATAAGTTGGCTAAAGCATTGTTGAGAAAAATATGAATGTTGATTTTCCACATATTTTATTATGAAAACATTTTGAGATTAGAATTAAGTAGGTAGGAGAGAATCTTATTTTTAATACTTTGCTGCTAATTGTTACAGCCTAGGTTTAAAATTTTACTCTCCTTTCCTACTAAATCATTAGGTTTAAAAATTTTCATATCATTGCCAGCATTCAAGTACTACAGTTGATCCCCATCTTATTGCCAAAGCTATCTTTGTCGTTAAAAAATAATTCAAAAATTGTTCCATTGCTAAATTATCCCAAATTTTAAAAAGAACAAATTTTCAATTAGCCTGTTATGTCAAATGCCAAACAATAATAGACAGGAAAAGATAATGATAGAGAATAGAAAAATAGATATAGTGAAGTTTTTTTCTTCGATTTGAACTAATTGCTCCATCAGCCATGAGTATGTATAAAGCTAGTTATTAGCATTACTACACTCAACTGATTTATATAAGCAAGCAATAATTAATTATACTAATGAGCCAATAGCTTGTAGATAGCATCACTGATTTATATAAGCGAACAATAACTAATTATACTAATGAGCCAATAGCCTGTAGTTATCATCAGAAGCAAAGTAATAGCTTGAATACATACACTCTTCAATGAAATTGAACCATCTTCTTCGCCAATAGGGATTGATACCCAGAACAGAAGCCAGTGCCAATAAGAACATGATGTATGACATAGAAAAAGTAACATAAAACGACTCTGGATCGATTTCATACCATTTTGGGGTTCATCTCAAACCCTTTTATAGTGCAGTCGTGATGAAAATTGCAAAATTCACACCTACTATGGGTTCACCTCAAACCCTTGCGTGACTTGAACCCGGGACCTCTTGTGCAAAATAAAAACTCCTAATTTCCATCTACCAATTATGCAACCTGTTAGTTGTGTTATAAAATAGGGAACAAATAAATTTAAGGGTAAAGTACACTAAGCCCCCCTGAGGTTTAGCATAAGGACACTCAGGTGAAAGTTACTTACTTTTTGGACAATGACACCCCTTAAAGATTAAAAAGTGGACAAAGACACTCCTTGAAGCCAACTAACATAAAAAATTGACCAAATTGCCCTTTGACTATTTAGTTGACTTTTTTAACTTTGCAAGTTAATAATTTGGACTAAACTACCCTTATGAGACAGATGAAATATATATATATATATATATATATAGATACATATCCATAAAACAGATTAATTTTTGGTGCAATGTACGAAAGACATTTAACAATGCAAATTTTATTTAAGAGTATTCTTACATAAATTTTATCGTGTTTTCTCTTTCAATAAATACAATAGAATGCAGACATGATATGTTATTTCCAATTCCCCATGGTTTTTTTTTCGGATAATGGAAACAATGGGATGCTCTGTTCGTTCCTAAAGAAGTTACACACATCCTGAAATAGATTAATAAATTGGAGAATAATACATTACACCAAAAATTACATGTCATTACAGTCATATTACATAAGCAACATTTAACTTCATAAAAGTAGCCATCCACATCCCACAATCCATAATAAACTTGTACCAAGTCATTACATAACCAACATTTGACACCAAAATTTACATAATCTGTCATTACATAACCAACATTCAAGTATCAACCAACCATCCAACAACAAGTGTCAACCAACTAACAAAAAATAACCCAACTGTTATGTCCATGTCATATGTGGCATTACAAAAATACTTGTCCCAGCAAGTGTCCCAAAAACAAAAAACCAAATAACCCAACTGTGTTGTCCATGTCATATGTGGCATTACAAAAATACTTGTCCCTGCAAGTGTCCCAAAAACAGAAAACCAAATAACCTAACCGTGTTATCTATGTCATATGTGCCATTACAAAAATACTTGTCCCAGCAAGTGTCCTAAAAACAGAAAACTAAATAACCCAACTATGTTGTCTATGTCATAAGTGGCATTACAAAAATGCTTGTCCCAGCAAGTGTCTCCAAAAGCAAAAAATCATGTTACCTAAATCCCAAATAGCCAGTCAATTGCTGATGGTCCACTAGATTGGGTGCAGGGTGTAGCTGCTGCTATACTTGACACTGTATAATTTCTCACTTGCAAAAAAGAATATTTGCATATATAATCACATTAGTGTCCTGATTTCCAGTTAATTAATATGAGGTTCTTTGGATTTAAATGTCTGATACATAAATTTATTGGATTAACAAACTAGGCACTAATAAATATATGCAAGCAAAACATGTCTATTAGACCTGTGTTTTAGTTTGGTATCATATAACATATAAAAATTGGATATCACTAATAAGTTGTGTGATTATATATGTTGTTTAGGTCCAACGGTCCTAGTAAGGAAATTAAAAAAAAAAAATGCAAAAAAAAGAAAATGAAGAGAGTAATGCTTACATTGGACTGACTGGCCTGTGTTGTTGTTCCTGTAACCACACTAGATTGAGTAGGTTGTGCATAACTACTAACCTGCAATTCCGAATGTACAATTAAAAACAAAAAACCAACACATTTAAAAGAAAATTTAAAATAACCAAGAGTAATGCTTACATTGGACTGACTGGCTTCTGTTGTTGTTCCTGCAACTTCATTAGATTGAGTGGGTTGTGAATAACCACTGACCTACAATTCCAAATGTACAATTAAAAAATATAAAAAAAACCAACACATTTAGAGGAAAATTTAAAATAACCAAGAGTAATGCTTACATTGAACTGACTGACTTGTGTTGTTGTTCCTGCAATTACATTAGATTGAGTGGGTTGTGAATAACCACTGACCTACAATTCCAAATGTACAATTAAAAAATATAAAAAAAACCAACACATTTAGAGGGAAATTTAAAATAACCAAGGTTTACCTGTGCTGCAACTATTTTACTCCTTGTCCTTGCTCCTTGACCTCTCCTTCCTTTATTTGCTGCTGAAGTTGATCCTGACCCATGCTTTCCTTTCCTTGATCCTTGTTTTCCTTTGCTCTGAATTGGAGCCCTTTGACAACCCCTTTTGTTGTGCCAGTATCCTTGCATATGCTACAATGAATAACAGTTGACCTCTTACTAGCCTGTGGTTCATCAGCTTCCCTTTTCCTTGCCACTCTAGGTCTGCCTATAGGCCTTTTTAGTTCTGGGGGAAGCAAATCCTTCTTATCTACTTTATCCCATAAGCTCTCATGGTGCATGTGATACATCAAATTTCTGTATGCTTTAACATAAGTGTACCTACTGAAGAATCCATGACAATACTCCTCAATATTCCCTCTTTTCCATGTAACACATGCTGCTACATGCTTACATGGTAAGCCACTGATCTGCCATTCCCTGCAATCACAAGTTCTGCTCTGAAGATTGACAACATATTTCATTATAGTTTCCTCTGTCACCTCAAACATATCACCACCTGGCCAGTTCAGTTGACATGTGCTAGCCTTTTCAATAACTAAGTTTAATTTATTTCTGATTTCTGGGACTGCAAAATTATCCCAAGTAGCAGATTTTTGAAACCTTTTGCAAAATTTGCTCATAATCTTCATTCTTATACCCTCAAACATAGCAGTTATAGGTTTTGCCCTCACCCTCTTAAGCCATGAATTGAATGATTCAACTGCATTATTTGTCAAAAAATCACATTTCTGTCTCTCATCAAACTTATGTCTTGCCCATGTTTCAAGTGGATGATTCATCAACTACTGCCATGCTTGTAGATTGCTACTTTGTATCTTTGTCATTGCTTTGTTGAATTCCAACTCAGTATAGGCCCTAGCTGTCATCCAAAACAGTTTTCTATACTTAACCCCAGGATATATTGTCCTAAAATTGGCATAAATATGCCTACAACACCTCCTATTGAGAGCATAAGGATATACTTCATCCACAGCTGGAAGTATGCCCTTTTGACCATCAGTCATAATTACCCAAGCCATATTTCCACACGTGTCACCTGTGATTTTGTGGAGGTGTTCCAAAAATCATTTCCAACTTTATTTTCTTTCAGACTCCACTACTGCATATGCAAATGGGTATAACCCATTATTCCCATCAAGCCCTACTGCAGTAATTAAAATACCACCAAAGGGGCCTTTCAAAAAACAACCATCTAGACCAATAAATGGTCTGCAGCCATCCCTGAAGCCATTTAACACTGATGCAAATGATATAAACATCCTAAAAAACCTTGGTTCATCATTTTGTGAATGTTTTATAAACACCAAACTCTCAGGATTTGTTTTCTGAATCTTAGCTGCATATTGCCACTGTTTAGAATACGAAGCTGAATGGGTTCCATCACTACTTTGTAAAGCTTTATTTTTAGCTCTCCTCAAGCATTTCTCACTCACTTCCACCTTAAATTGATCTTTTACTTCTTGTTCCAACTTATCTAAATTGATGTCAGGTTGATGTCTGAATGCCTTTTCAAGTTTGTTTGCTATGTATGTAGAAGTAACCACCTTGTTCTTAGTGGTTCTAATGCAAGTGTGTTCTGGACCAAGTGAAGTAACCTTAAAGGTGCTGTTATCTACTTGTAGAGATGCATGGATTCTCCATTCACAACCTGGGTTCCCACAATTACTAGTTACTCTAGTCCTCTCATTCTTCACCATCACCAATTTAAAACCCTTTTGAACTGCAAAGTCCTTTAACACAGTCCTAAAATGCTTAATGTCATCAAACAAATGATCCATCACAAATTTAATCTCACCATGATCACCATACTTGAACAATATCCCCTTAACGTGTTTATGCACATTAACTGGTCTTTCATCATCACTTTCTCCAATAAAATCAGCAGTGTCACTATAATCAGATAATTCACCACAACTGTTATCAGGACTTTCCATTTCTAATTCAATATTAGCCCAATCATGTGCCTCTTGTCCCTCATCATGTCCCCATTCTCCCTCAGTCCACTCCTCATCATCACTGTCTGAGAAACTGTAATCAGTTTTTTTTCAGAGTCATTATCATCTTCCCCCACAGGATTTTCAGGTACCAATGGGTCCATATAATTGTCTAAATCAATTAGATCATCCTTATCACCAATCTCAACAATTATATCTATCTCCTTAACATCTGAGTTCATTTCAAACATTATGATAAGATCATCATCCCCATTTAATCTCATTCTGCCACTATCCTCAGAAAATTCATAAAACATATTCAATGCTAAACCAGTCTGATTATATTCATGTTTAAGCACAAATGCATAAGCAGTTGAGTACAACTCCAAAAAACGATAACCATTTGGATGTATCCCTTTCACAACATGTATGTGACCACCAAACTTAACTAGGAGATCATGGACTTTGTCATTAGCCATCTGCAACTGAGAAAAATAATTCACACATGCATAGGATATACAATGTTATCTCAGAGAATATCATGCAATTAATCAAAACTCTAAAGACAACATGCATAGGATAGGCATTGTTAAGACAAGAACCAAACCAAGTGATTGACACAGTATATGTCTACCAGAGCGGGACACAAAATTACCGCTAATTTTGCATAAAGTCCGTCATACAACAAACATTCACAGATCAATCACTGTGGTTGCAGAAAGTCAAAAACATGCAATCTTATAGCATGTGTGAATTAATAACAAAAATTTTGGTAAAAAAAAAAGCCTTTTATTTTCATTCTGCCATAATTTCTCAAAATAACAAAATTTTGGTTAAAAAAAAAAAGGGAACAAAACCCCATATTTTTTTTTGAAAATTTCTTGTAAACCGAATAAAGAAACATGATCAAAGATTTCTTTACCAAAAAAAAAAAAAAAAACCATATTTAGAGAACAGGAACAAAGATTTCGTTAAAAAAAAAAAAATCCCATATTTAGAAAACAAGAACAAAGATTTCGATAGCAAAAAAAAAAAAAAAAAAAAAAAAATTAGAAAGCAGAACAAAGATTTCGTTACAAAAAAAAGGAACAAAACCCAATATTTTTTTTGAAAAACTTCTTGTAAACCGAATAAAGAAACATGATCAAAGATTTCTTTACCAAAAAAAAAAAAAAAACCATATTTAGAGAACAGGAACAAAGATTTCGTTTAAAAAAAAAAAAATCTCATATTTAGAAAACAAAAACAAAGATTTCGTTAGAAAAAAAAATCCTATATTTAGAAAATAGGAGCAAAGATTTCGATAGCAAAAAAAAAATTAGAAAACAGAACAAAGATTTTGTTACAAAAAAAAAAAAAAAAAAATCCCATATTTAGAAACAGGAAACAAAGATTTCTTTTTAAAAAACCCATATTTAGAAAACCTCATTTTAGGAAAGAAAATAAAGAAAACCAAAACCGTATAAAAAAAACACCATATTTTAATAAATCAGGAACAAAATTTTTGTGAAAAAAAAAACCCATATATTTTTTTTTTTTGTAAATTAACAAAACAATTTCAAGAAATATCAAGGTTGCAATAGAAGCAGAACAAAGATATATAGATATATATATATATATACACATGAATTTATTAATATAATTTAGAAAAAAAAGAAGAAAGAATAGATTAATATATATATATATATATATATATAGAGAGAGAGAGAGAGAGAGAGAGAGAGATAAAAATGTGTTGAGAGAGAACCCGAGATGTGTGGAGACCAAAGCAGAATAAAGATACTGGTTGATCTTGACGAGATCGCGAAATCAGCCTCCAGAATTAGGGTTTTAAGATGATCATGGTGACTGGGGTTTTAGACAGAGATGGTGATACGAAGAGGAGATAAAATATTCTAGGGTTTCAGAGATGGTGATACGAAGCGGAGAAGAAATGATTCGCACAGAGAGAGGCCGTATATCTGGTGTGTGGTTAGAAGATTAGATTGTTGTTAATCTGGCGCCACTTGGCGCTAATTTGTGGTGCTAAAATTTTGAGGGGTAATTATGTCATTTTGACATGTAATGATATTTTGTAATAAATTTGAATTTAAAATTAAGGGGCAATTTTGTCTTTTCATATGATTTAAGGCCTTGTTTGGATGGAATTTTTTTAAGGGGGTGTCATTGTCCCAAAAACAGATAACTTTCACCTGAGTGTCCTTATGCCAAACCTCAGGGGGTGTTAGTGTACTTTACCCTAAATTTAAATAATAATTTGAAAACCTTTCTAAAAAGAAACATATATTTTAAAACATGTTCAAACATTGTTCGAGTGCAAGCAATGGTTTGCCTTAATTTTTAAAGTTAGCTAGTAGGCGGACTTGACTAAAAAATTTCATTGCTTGGATTATGCCCAACTACATGTATCGTTGGAAGCACAAACACTAATGGGAATTTTAATAATAACGTTCCAATCTTCTTCATGAAATAGGTTTTGAATAATTGAAACTTTCAAAATCTCGAGTGTGGATGAAATAAATCATTGACTTTTTGAACATGGCAATTTGGAGGTGCAAGGGTAGAAAATAGGGGTGGCAATTTATGTTCATGGGCTATAATCGTGTCGTATCGATGTAAGGGTATTATACTAAATAGGTAAATCAAATATGACCCATTTAATAATCGTGTCAAGAACCCTCAACACTTACTCGACTTATTTATTAAACGGGTAAACATGTTAACACATTTAATGATCTGTTTATTAAAACGAGACATTTAATATTTAATCAAATAATAAATAATAAATTTTTTTTGTCACAATTAATCCAAATATTCAAAATAAGAAAAAAAAATCATAAGGCGTAGACAACGTTTATGTTGAAATAACTTAACTATTTATAATAATTGGGTTCAAACAGGTAACATATTACATATGTCATATTTACGATTATTACATATTGAGTTAAACGAGTTACATGGGTTGAATGCCTTAACCTAAACCCGACATGGTTAAATAAACGGGTTAATCATGTCAACCTGTTTATGACCCTAACCCTTTTAAGGTTAACATAAACCCGCTTATCTCGTGTCGTGTTGGCGGGTCGTGTTGTAATTTCCTACCCCTAGTAGAAAATTTGAAGTTCACAGCACCTGGGATCCAAGCATCAGGCCATATGTTAATGAAATTTTCAGATCCGACTCTGCATCTCGTTCCTTGCTTCGTAGAGCTAAAACTTTTACAAGCCCAAGAGGCACTGCAGGGACAATAATATCTACAGAGGAATAATTTGGAAAATACTTACCTTTAAAAACTTTATATAAGTAGAAGGCTATCATCTGCAGTTTGAAATTGTTGGGGATAATTAACTCCCTCCAACCCACTCAACGGTTGGCTGTTGTTGAGATTTAAATCCCTCATTCATCACACACAGCGAAAGTATTATCACATCCCATCAACACAAACATATATGGAGATAAGAATCTTACACATTAACGCACAACACAATATTTTACATGATTCACTCAACTCTAGGGTTACGTCCATAGGAGAAAGATTTCACTATTATATATCAAGGAAGAGAATATACAACCACATATTAAAACCCCACTAACTCACTCATCATCTCTTTTGAGGCTACATGTATTCACCCGGGAATTACATATACTCTCACATCTCCTTACAACACTCACCCTTACACCCGTCACATCTTTCTTCTCTCTCTCTAAACCCCTCACACCCATCTCTATTTATGGAGTCTTTAAACCCAATTCCTTGCTAGATAATTCCCCAACTTGCCTACAAGGAGTTACCATAATGATCACAATTCTAAAATAAAAACATAATGGGATACAATTTCCTCAATAAATTTTAACATTCCAAAATGAAAAAGGAAATTAATTTTTTGCACACAAATTTTGAGCCACAAACCCAACAGAAATCTCCAACTCTACTTTATTAATAAGGTAGTGTTGAAAGCCACCAAGTCTCAGAAGCCTAGACCACCATCTTCTTTTCCTTTGCACAAGTCAGTCCATTTAACCCAACATGGTTCCTTTTATCTTGAAAACTAGACAACCAGAAGTGAATAAACTCGTTTGTCAATTTTTTGCAAACCTCAACAAAGTCTCTTTGCCAGCAGTAGAAAAATTAAAGTCTTTCCATTTCTCGATCCACACAATAAGTTCGTCCCTCAAAGAGTTGCCCTTCCAATTTTAGGAGGAAGACCTCAGTATTTCTCATGAACATGAACATGATTTAAGGGAACTCTTAACACTCAACCACAGTGCTTCTGGAAGATATTCAAAGTTTGCCCAACTAGATTGGAGTTTGGCTTTCTTAGGGAGTAGCCCACACTCTTAGGCCCTATTTGGTATGTGAAGTGTGTTGGGTGTTTTTGTTCCAGGCCCACTACAGTAGTCATTTTTTAGTCCAAAGCATGTTTGGCCCGCCTTGTATTATTTTCAACAGCTCCACAACATGCCCAAAAATCGAGCCCAAAGTTGAAACACCATTTAGGTGTTTCAGGTTGTTGCCAGTAATTTTTAGGTTAGACATGCACTATAGCGAAGAGAATAACTTGGCCCAACCTAGCACTGGTATATAACAAACTTGCAACAACTTGTAACAAATTCTAGGGTTATGTTATGTTGCTCTTGTCTGGCGATTCCGGAGGCGATTTCAACTGTTCGTGCTTTGTTGCTGAAAATGACTACAAGTTGAAGCTGTAATGTTTATTATATATATATATATATATATAAATATATATATATATATATCTTAGTGGAGGGACCCACCTTCCACTTATTTTTTTAATGGCCATAAGGCCATTTAGACCTCAAAATCTCACTCTCTCGGCAGAATCTCTTCCCCCTAATTTCTTGCATTTTTTTTTTTTTTTTTGCCATGATTTTCAAGACTTGATTCCCCCTTTATCTTTGAGAATTTGATAGTACTTCATTGGACAAAGTTATAGAGCTCGTTGAGGCCGTCATTTTGATCGGAGCAAAGTTCAATTTGG